GACCGATGCCGTGGACAATCAACTCTGAAATATATCCTATGTGGGCTAGGAGCTCATGTAACAGTGTTGCCACATCAACAAACTGGTTATTCAATCTTCTCATCTCTATGACATTCCTAACATTAACGAAGGAGCTTACCAAGGAAGGTAAGGTGGAACTTCTGACCAATCAGAGAAGCTTACGACGACTTAGATTTTTCTGATAATCCTCTTTCATGGAATGTATGGTACTTTAGAAATTAAGTTATTTTTTCCAGTCATTATGAATTGTTTTTTCTCATAAGTGTATGTAACTTATTTTAATGGTCTTAAGGATTTTCTTATCATTTTTTCCGTCATAAACAAAGTTTTAGCGAGTAACTTACAGATAATACAGGCTGAACAAAACGTCGCACGACCCATTCTGTTTGGCCTAAGTGAACTTCTGTAGGATTATCAGCTCTGGAGAGAAAGTTCTCTCTGTGACTTGAATGGAGAACGTAACAAAATTTGATGAATATCATCCAAACTATCATCATTCAACATTGAAGGTCTTTCAGAACAGTCTCTGTCCTATACACTTCCTGTGTCTTGGAAACAATTCACCAGACATGATACCGTCAATTTGTATGGAACAGGAGAATCGGGATACGTACCGCAAAACTCTTTATGGCAAGTAAAGTATGAGTGAGATGTCGGGTAGTGTTCGACAATGGACACTTCTGAAAATCCTTGCACTTCAGCTGTTTCAAGATAATTGATGAACTGGCTTGAGCAGGTTACAACATGACATAACCTGCTTGGGATCTTGTATAGTCGCAGCGATGCCATGTGTTCATTAGGCAGATGGAATTATAATGAATTTCAGCCATAAATAAATGTTTTAAAATGGGTTACATGACTTTGAATGGTGAGTGAGTGTACAGCTCTGTTCTGGTTCTTGGTTATGTTATATGTTATGCCATCAGCTGTCTGTCAGTTGGAAATTGTTGAATTTGGTAGCAGTGAATGTGCATGTTTTATGGGGTACTGCTACCTCATTTCCTTAGGAAAGTGAAGATATTTATGGATATAAACTTTCTTAACGAGAGAATTGTTAGTTAAATGAAATCCTTTCAGTTGCCTGATCCTAGATACCTAAATTTGTTTTGATGGTTACATCCATCTTCTACCAAGAACATTACAGAAAGTTGCTTCTGCTGTGTATGGAGCTGGCTGTCTTTTTGGAAAAGAATATAATTATGACAAATTGTTCTGTGGTAAAATTATATCCCATAGGTTTCCAAATTGATTATTACATCCAGTAAATTTCATTATTTCATTATCTTTTGTTAAATTAATTTGTGGGCTTTTGCGCTAACATTATTCAAGTCTAATGAGCTGCAATATCTCCATTTAATGTTGATCTGTATCCAGATTTAACACTGATGAAGGTAAAACTAATTTCAGTTTGTGTCTACTGACGCTGCAATCTTTTGTATTTTGAATAAAGTTATAAAATATTTCAATATTTGTGCCATTCCATCTCAGTTCGTAAATGAAGAAATCATTATTGACACACCCACATATAAATGAGTCCTGTTAAGAAAAGAACAACTTTATTTATAAGATACTGCGTTAGTCTCTTTAGAAATTGTCTCAGTGAAACTAGTCATAAAATATGTTGTTGAAACTGTAAAGCCATTTTGGATGTTCCTCATTTTTTTCAGGAGCCTTCTACCTTTATGCCGGCTTTGCTGCGCTTGGGTTGATCGCTTTACTGTTCCTCTTACCGGAGACAAAAGGAAGATCTCTGGAGGAAATGGAGACTGTATTTTCTGGACCCTGGTGTATGAGAGTTGGTTCCTCAGATCCAAAAAATGTTCAGTACGTACATATTCGAGGCTTGAACCGGGACTGTCATGAAGATGAGGCTGATAGCGGTGACAGTGACAGCTAATGCACTGTCTTTTGCTTTTGTTAGGAAAACAGAGAAAAGGAAATATTTATTACCGTATGCTCTTCCGTTCTGTAGCTGGCTACTAACTTTCTTATGTACAACTGGCAACATTTTAGGGTCCAATCCAAAATGCATTTCTTGCAGATTTATTACAGGGATGAGCTGTATCAAAATATAATATTTAGCCACTAGCATTAAATGTTTGAAAAATGCATTTTGGCAAAAAAAAAAAAGTGTCTACTATTTATGAATAGTGATACGTGGATATAAGAGGCTTATTAATTCTAAGCACACATGAAAAGTTAATTATGATTGTGAGAAGCGGTGAAGATATCGATGCTGTTCTTATACTTGCGATTGAGTCGGCACATTCAAGATGCCGACTGAATTACATATGTAGTGGATCAGCTATTATTTATTGATGTGTTGTGCCATATTTGAATGTTTCTGATATTTGGGCAAGGTTTAACCATTGTGATTAGAAATCTTATGAAATGGGCCAAGTACTTTGAATAGTTTGGGCATTTTATTAGACTGTTGTCCAAGAATATACATTGTCATGTACCCTTTGGCTTAGATGCTTGAAATTAAATTAGGGAAAGTTAATTTTTAAACACATTAAAACCCACTCTTTAATTGTCTCTTTCCTTGGAAAATTTAAATTGAGCATTAATTAATTTCTAAACATTGGGTTAGCATTAATTTCATCATCCGTCATGTTTAGCGTTTGCCTTACGGGCAGAAATTAAAATATGGATAGAGAAAAAGAAACCCCTAAAATTCAGGTATTACTTTGGTCAAGACTGTCTGATGAACTGAATGAAATCCAGGTTTAGAGCAGCGAGTAACACATTAAATTTCTTCTGCCGAAACTCAGAATACACGAAAGTAGCAAGAAAGAAATATTTTATAATTTGTGTTATGTTGAATGTAGATAAGCCAGAGGCAATGTAACACTATTTTTTGTCAGTCATCATTTACGTATGGCATGTTTTATTTATTATAAGATACATATCAAGCAGCAGTTTGAAACAGTTAATTGACATTTATTAGTCAGCTGATCTCTTCACTCAGCCCACTCTTTCATCCTGCAATGATCAAGGGATGGTGTTTTGAGAAATTAACTTTTTATATGTCCAGTATTATCGTCGTCGTCATTCCAATTATGGTTATGTTCGCACACGTCACTTTATTACAGGATTATTTGCTACCACGTATGCAATGTCCCAGACATTCCATAGGGATAATTTTGCTTTGTGTCATTAGAATGTGTGCATTTTTTAATATTATTTATGTATTGGCTCTTAAGTATTTATATGACCAGAACTATTAAAGAAGACATGCGAGGACCAGCTTGGATGCGCCGTACATAGATTTGAAGATAATATTTAGACTTCTTTGTTACATATTACGCAGTACTGTTAGAATAATATTGAAAATATAATTGGATTACCTTAAACATGATGAAGTTTGCTTCTAAAATAAAAAGTCAATACTTTAGGTGATATATAATTAAAAGGTAATATTTTAAAAAAAACAGTGTCTAGGGTAACCTTCAGTGATATGCCTTTCTTTTGAGCATTTGTGAAAATCAGACATACCTCATATATATTTAAAGTAATGAATTATATAATTTGACTGCTCACTTTTTTCTTTGAAATATTTAAAATCTCTTGGTTTATCGAACCATGAAAGTAAATGCAATACAATGTAGGACACAGTTCAACAAATGCCTGAACAAGAATTAACCTAATATTAATTGCAATGTTTGTTATTTCAGTGAATTTTCATTTTCTCCAAACCGCAGTAAATTGAAATGTAGGCGTCAAATGTACCACAAAGACATAGTATCAAAACCTACCGTATTTATTGAGCCAGGTTAGTGTTAAAAGTAAGAAGTGATTTAGTTAATGTTTAACTTACTCTTGTGTAATCTTTTAGTGTTTCAACCAAAACATTGCTTGTTGGTTGATTGCAAATGCTTGGGGAAGAAATGCATGAATCTTAACCTCAAAACTAATATTTATTCGATGGAATATCTAACATATAACAAGACTGGATGCAGTTGACCCTGTAAGCTTCGGCTAATACCGTACATCCTCTCAGACACTAATATAAAGTTAAAGTTACCTCGGACAGCATTTTGAAAGTCACCCTACTGACCCAACTAATGTATCCCTGAGCCGGAAGAAGCCGTTGCATTCTGTGGTCTTGCCCCTTCATAATTCTATGACGGACGTCACGATGTGCATTACAACGGACGTACTTTGTACGGTCGTGTGGCCCCCGCCTGAACTAAATTTTTGTATCGTCTTGTAGACTTGAAGCTTTCATGGCGTCTGGAAGTCATAAAATTTTGTGTGATCGGCTGCATCAATTTAGAATGTAAGGTGAAACTTTTAAAGACGTCTCTGTCTCGGTTATTTAAAAATCCAAAATTATCATTTTGGCTTCCGTAAGCCATAGTCAGTATAGACCTTTATAATATTAGTTATAAAATAGTGAACACTGCTTTATTTATTAAATATATTAGTTACCATGGCAAATTTTGAGGTTGGACATGGAAAAGGAGACCTCCAGATGTGGGGGGGGGGGGTGTTTTTTGAAAATACAGAATAAATATTTGTAAACAGCCTGCAAAGAGTAATTCTCCCTTTTGCAGGGTATCGGCTGTGGAATAATTACTCCTCTTTATAAAAACCACTGTGTTATGAAATGTTGTACATAGGGATAGGAGAAATATGTACAAAATTTTTGTTGGAAAACTTGATTAGAAGAGACCACTAAAAACATCACATTGATGTTTATTTGCAGTTTCCAGCCACTGCCACTTCATCTGTTGTTCTTTTTTCATTAAAAATCTTCACTGCTTACCCATAAGCCTACTGTGGTTAGCCTGGAAATGTTGCTTGAGCTTGTTTGGCTTCGCTGATTCATTGCTTAGAACTTGTCCACACACAAGACATTGTGATTTGTCCACTCTATGGTCAATGGTATACATGAATTATAAAGGAACTCTTCTTTACATTACACTAACATTTCCGTGGCGTAACAGCCCTCTGAGAGCCAAAGCCGACTAGCTGGCTGCTGGCCTCACGTTCACATGCCTAAGCAGAGGTGAACGATCATCCAACCAGATGTAGGGTGACGTGTGGTCAGTACGACGAACCCCCAGCCATTGCTAGTTTTCATGACCGGACATTAACATTATCTTTTTCTATTTAATTGTTATGCCTTATTTTTCTGTTGTGTTTTACATTCTAAGACTTTTAAGAGCTTACTACTTCTGCTACCTGAGTGCACGATACAGTCTGTCCTTTTGGCTTCAGCTGCTTTATACTTCAGTAACATGACACGCTCGTTTATAAATAACTGATTTTTGCTTCCGTTTGATCAAGTTACAAGAAAATCAGAATATTCCTATTTTATGAAATGTACAGTGCTTAATGTTGCTGTTATGATTTTTTGTGAAAGACTTTTCTGTGCTGAAATATCTATTCTTGGCTCGTTTAAATGACCCTCAGCATGGAATCTGAAAAGGTATTTTGGAAATAGGTACACGTTTGAAATTGCAACACATCCAACCTAAAATGAATGAATAATGGCTTCATTACTTCTTTTTCAATTTCACACTCATTGTAATATTTTTTTAACTAGTATTATAGTATAGACTTACTGAATTTACATGGACTTTGATTTGAAAATTGAAGTGGGATTACATCAGGGTTATCAGTTATTCAGTTTGTCAGTCCATATTAGGAGACGAACATTAAGATAATTAATAAATTTCCCACTATCTCTTTTCTTTGCAAATAAGTCCGTCTTACGTGTTTGTGGGCACTGAAACGAATGGGAATGTGATTTACTGCAGTATTGAATGCGATACATGTTGCAAGTTGTACAGCAGCAAGATAACAGTGTCCTTGTTTTAAAGGAAATGTTCTGTGTTTATATTTGTGAATGGTGTGAGATGAATTTGCATGAATAATTTATACGCCGTGCATTTACTGCCTTCTTGTGTTATGTATGGGCCGAATGGACGGGTGATTATGGTATTTATGTGTGTGTGTATTTTTCTCTGTTTAAATGTGTTATTAAAATCTCTGTATACCTAGTATTATATTAATTGCAAGTTAATTTGTAATATATGCACAACTTCAAAGACAATAATTTTTGTTGTAAAGCTGACAACTTTTGATCACATATTAATCCCAGATAGTATTACTGGGAAATTTTCTTTCTGTAATAGTCGTGTATAAGGGCACAGATATTCCTGTATAAGTACAGTGAGAAGAAAATTAATGTTTCTAAAATTGTTTTTAAAAAAAGGAGGTAATTTAATTAGTTGTGGTCTTATGTATAGATATGTTATTCAAAAGTATTATGGACTAAACTTTCTGAGGAAGAAAAAATAAACATGAACCACAAAAATATATCACATAGTCACAAATATTTGTATGATGTCTGCACTGTAGCTTGTATTTTGTATTCTACAAAGTATGAAACTTTGTGTTCACACACAGGGAATGTATTTATGTTTTTAATGGGCACAGACTTGATAAATGCCACTTATAATAATGTTAGTAATATGAAAAATTTATAGTTGCATGTCTTGAAAGGTTTTAGTGCAGACATAATTATACTGTCGCATATGATGCTGTAATCTGTCATAAGAGATATTTATATAGTTTGTTTATGTTTTTTTTTACCATATTAGAACTATGTATATATAGAATATTATCTATTAGGTTTATGTCTGTGTCCTGGACGTTAATTTATATTTACATTTAGCATTTTAATATGGAGAAATGTAATAACAGTGTACTGGAAACCCGCCTTGAGGCTCTCTCAGTATGAAGAAACAGATGGAAAATCTTTCAGGGAATATAAAACTAAGTCATGGAATTGAATACTTTAGTTGGAAAATGAAAGGTCATGGTTAAAATTAAGAACAAATTTGATTGTAATTGAAATATTAAACTTAGATTTCAAGAGAAATTATCTGTTTTCTGATATAATTAATTAGACATTTACAGAAAAACATTTGAATTTTTGGTTGATCTTTTCTGTAATAATTCCCAGATGGCAAAGTTTATAATATAGAGAGTTTTGAGTTTTTCCCCTGCATTTGTACCTGATTTGTAATTCTTAATGATTCTCGATTTCATACCCTTTTATCTTTTATTTTGAGGAAATCATAATTAATTTAATTTAAATGTACTGTTATTATAATCTTATCACATAATGTCATTATGGAACGTATTGAATTTTGTGGATTGTGTGCTTTGTAATATTTCCAGACAATGCCACGTAACAAGTATTAAATCCAAAATCTGCATTTATTTTTGATTAGTTGAATCTGTTTTTAAAAGAAAGAAATTGAACAGCATACAGAAAACATTTCATAGAAGTGACATTTCAATTTTGTGTTATAAAATTAATTTGACTGCCAATAAACACCGTCTGTCCAGAATTTTGAATTCTCACATAATGCAAGGAGTCGGTACTAGATAGCATGTGGACATTTTTCTTTGATGGTGTTGAAAGACTGAACATTCTCTTGAATGTGAGACAATTTATATTACCTTTGTCAAAATTGATAATAGTGAAGAAATGTTAAGAATTAGTGTATTAAGGAAAAAATGTTTATACATTCTTACCAGAAACCTACAGTATTACGTAACTTGAAATCAGTTTATTTATTTGAACAATATGATTTTTAGTAAATACATTAAACTATGAAAATGCCAATACATTTCTTTAATTTCAACTAATTACATTTTTGAGAAAGGTCAATTTCTATATCCTGTCTCGTAAATTCGTTTAGGAAGAGTCACATCAAGAGCGATGGCTATGTCTCATGAGAAAGGACTGTTTTTTTTATATGTTTACATTTCACATTTAATAAATAGTAAGGGAAATTGCATAATATAATTCACTTTTCTTTTTTGAAGTTGGTTAGTGATTTGGTACACTTCCTGCAGATTGTGAGGGATTACTTGCTTATTCCTGCGCACATGTTATTTGGTACATGGAAACTTTCCTCAAGTTTCAGGTTCTCATGACAGCAAGTATGAAGTCTGGTAGAAATTTATTGAGTCGGTGAACTTCTACCAGACTACACAGTGCAACAATGCAGAAGACAGCCATCTTAACATAAATTTATTTGAATACAAAAAGAATTTCAGTGATAATAGAGCTGCAACTGCTTCTCGTAGCTCCCTTTGGATTCTAGACAATTCAAAAACAATTTGCCTCCTGCTGCTTTGCAGTATGTATCATCTGAATAAGGCAACAGAGAAATGAAAATCCGTCTTAAGGGAATCAGTTCCAGAGAGGTAAATTAATATGCATTAATAGTGATTCTAAAGAATTGCGACATACCAAAAAATTTAATAAGTTTTTCAACCACCAATTTAAACTTAACAAAATAATTTTATATCCATCTGAATTACTATGGACTTATTTTTATGTTTGTAAGAATGGATCACATAAGAATTTAGTAGGATGTAATTAAAAATAAGTCTGAAAGCTCTGTCCTCCCAGTTTCTTATCTTATATCTGACCCACTATTATATTTAAATTTAGAATTTATATGTTCTAAAGTACAGTATTAATTATAAATAATCCAAATGGCAGTACTTTTTTCTTTTTGGCTTATGTGCTTGTGTTATGGTATATGTCTAGCTTGAGTCAGGCTTTGTTTTGTAATGCTTCTGGAATGCTTGTGAACATGAAGTCTATTGTCTTCATATACGTACATGCACGCGCGCACATGCACACACACACGCGTTAATATAATATCTAACTCACAAGTGTCACTGAACATTGCATGCTTCATATGTTGAAGGTCCAACTATACTGAATGAGGATTTTCATGAGGAACTTTCATCTAAATTTTCTCTACCTCTTCCTAAAGAGTTGCAATTTACATATAAAATGCCTGGTGCTGTGACATAAATGTATCCATGTTCTACACAAATGGAATCTTGCACAACTCAGAGTCATATGAGAATATTTGAAGGGAAACCACTTCCTCTCATGACTGCTACTGACTCTTCAGGTTAACTTTTTGGTTAGGAAAGGACATACATTGGCACAGATGCAAAATAATCTTTTTTTACCATTCCCGCTTAAATCTGAACTTCATCAGTACAAATTTAACGATGACAAAGCTTTATGAAATGTAGTTAACACAAAGCATTCAGGGCACACACAAGGAGTTATCAATTAATTTTGTCCTTGCTCAAAAATTCCAGAGATAATGCATGAAAGTGAACTTTTCACATTTAGGTTAGTAGGAGGGTGACTGTGAAAATGCCATTTTGTTCAGTTATTGCCTTGAATGAATTTGAAATTAAATTAAATGCTTGATAGTAGTTGTCTCATATACTCATCTATAAACTTTTTCATTAGAATTCCACTAGAGACCTGTGAATAATAAGTGCTAATATTATTTGTTCATAAATTATACTGTTTTGTTTTCTCTGAATGTGTAATGTGAAGACTTGTAGACATCACAGGTTGATCATCCATCCAGCTGTGACTTATGATGGTTAACTGGTTTATAGGTCTATGTAATGAAACTGTATCCAGTGCTCAAGCTAACTGGTTTGGCTGTCCAAGAGTCCAACTGTTAACAAGATTTCAGTTCTTAAATGCTATTTTGGATATTGATAATTCATTGACAAATGATTGCTTTCATGTATATGTAAACATTATTCGAAACTGGCACTGTATGAAATTATAACATAAGTTTATATTTGAATGTGAAATATTTTATTTTACCAAAATCAGGAATATTTTAAACTTGGGTAGGTTTTATGGGATCAATATTTTATGTTATGGTGATATTTTTTACGGTTAACCTTGTATTATAAATTTCGTAAAATGGGAAAAGGATACGGAATTGGGGCATGAAGCGTGTTCAAACCGGGACATTATATTTTACATCCAACGTAGTTCAAATCTCAGGCTCCAGGGGACTGGATCATACAAAATACGTACCAGACCCGAAACACGCGTGATAAGACTCGCTGTCTCAATCGGTAATGCAGTTGTAACATGCAATTTAGTTTCCTGTGTTCGTAATAGGGTTATTTAAGTTGTTTCTTGAACAGTACGATAACGAACAGCTTCTGTATGATAAAATCTGATTATAGCTGACAGATTATCTTAAATGTTATAAGAATTACATTCCTTGAGGATCCGGAAGTAGAGGCTACATTGGTATGTGGAAGGACAAAGTGGACACTAAATTTAAATGTTAACTGAATTTTAATAATAATATGCATTTAAGGGCGTTAATTTTAGATACATTAATGGAAATGCTAAGCCAAGATAATGATTCGAAATGATGAGAGTCATGTTGAACATATTTCGATATTTCCGCGTATTATACATCAATGATTTCCGGCGTTTACGAATATGGCGGGTTATGAAATTTAAATTTACTTTCGTAGCTTGAATGATTTAGTGATAGAATGAACTTCACTGCTGTTTTGAAGATAACTATAATCACTTCTGCTTCTCTGATACTGTTTCTTTCGTATCACTTACTACAATTGTGTAACTTAAAAATATAATATTATTCAATTGAATTATATATTTTGTGTGCACTTTGAAGCATAACTATAATCACACAGTTGTATAGATATAGGGCAGTACAGTTGGTTCAAGTTACCAAATTTCATTATGAAATAGGTTATATTTTTAACATTTTCAACTAAAAGGGGGTAAAATATATTGGAAAACAATGAGATCAGTACTTACCCCTCAAACTCCACTTTAATCATAAACTTATTATAATAGCAATGAGGGCATACTTCTGCAAGATGGAAAAATAATATAAATACAGTACAAATGGTTTAAGTTTAATGTATTTTGATTTATGCATAGGCAAATAAATATCTATTCCTTTTTTCAGTGTGAAAAGTGTAGAAGCTGTGACCAGTCAAATGTAAATTAGGTGCTACAAATATCAAACTTCGCAGATCAATACACATCGATGGCATTGCATCATGGACATGTCATAATACTTCAAGACAGGAATATGAAACTACTTTTTAATTTAATTAATGTTATGATTTTTTAATTTTACATTTACGTTTGTTTCTTATTCTATCAGTATCACGACTGCTACTGTTTCATTTTTGAAGAAAGTAACTTCTATATTGAAAAATATTACCTGAAGATATTTAACTGCACTTGTTTAATTATGTGAGGTAGACAGACATGTATGTTTGTTTGAGAAGACATTCTGGTTCCACAACCAAAAACAAGAAATGAATTAGTATATATTTTTAAAAATAAGGGCATGCAGAAACAAAATGTTCTGGAGGTATATATGTTTATTATGCATGAAATAAACAATTTATGCATTGCATCATGTAGTCTTTACAGAACAATAACATTGTAGCTGTTAGTGTTTTTATATTACTTTGTGTTTGTATGTCACATGTTTGTTAAATATTTTTGTATTGTAACTTTTTTTATTATTATTTTTTCATCTACTGTGTTATGTTTCATTTTAGCAAAATTTAAATTATAACATATTTAAAATTAACTTAGATTCCAATGTCAGTCTGATAGTTATTCTGTTAAAAGACATTTGAAAAGTATTAAGACAATTATATTGTTGTACTGTACAAATATTTTATGTGTATTCAGTTCAGACACTGGCTGTGGACAATGGTAACAAAATTCTGCAGACAAATATAATTAATATCTCTTTGTGGTCTATAATTGAAACAGACATACTCTCTTCTGTAATAAATGAAATTACAAAGCACAAATATCATTAGTATGCTCTGTTACTTCCAGAATTAAAATTTTAGAGTGAGAATGGAATGTTTGTTTCTCTTTATGTACACATTTACAGTATTGTAGATGTATTGTGTGTTTGCATTTATAAATGAGAATGACACATTTAGCTGTGATTTATTTAAAGGGTCTATATTTTCAGTATCTCCATAATGCTTTTATTATTAAAAAGTAGATTTTGCACTTGGGTATATGTGATTGAACACCAGGGTGCAGTATTTTATGTCTAATATATTTATCTGTCAATAAAACTAATATTATTTGGAAGCACAGTGGATTAATGTAATAGTTAATATTAGTGGTCAACAAATTATAATTTTGTAAATAAAACTCTACGGCAAGCTACATATGAGAGTTATAACTTGTTATGCAATCATTAAAATCTGTGGATTAGACATTTGCAGCACTGAAAACAAAATACAAATATGTATACCAAGTTGAAATTGTGGTTATGTGTTGAATTTTCATCATAAAGTAAAATATGGTGCATCCTATAAGCCGAGGAATAGATGTAACACCTGTATTCTCAAGAATAAGTAATCTATATTTTCTCGGTTGCAAATATGAATTCTTATTCAATAAATAATTTCTGATATGAAACTACGCCATAAAAATGTAATTACTTTCTTTCCCCAGTATAGCTAGTTTTCTAATACCAGTAGTTAAGATCGCTGCTTTGCAGTTACCTTTACCAAGGTACAAATAAATTTAAATAGAATAGCGGCGATTGAAGTATCATTGTAAGGGTTGTATTTATGTTCGTGTAGTTGCTGGTACGAAGTTTTAAATGACGGACTACCTTGAAGAAAACGACATACAACGGGTTGCTTGTAAAACATGTCTTTGTGAAAGATCAATAAAGTGTACAATGTATTATAAAACAGATATAAACTTTGTTCATTTCTTCTTTTGCATGTTTCATACCATATAATTCATCTGAGTGAATTTATGAATATTTTGCCGATTTCAATTTAAAATCACCCATTCAGAAAGTCCACAACACAGTAAGGAACGTCTGATGAGTGTTTGTAAATGTAGAACACTTGACCAGTGGAGTATTTCTGACCATGCCCGACTTGTTACGAATTACGAAGGCCTGTAGGTTGTATTTTCTGTGGCCCGTAGGTAATCTATGGTAGCCGCTGCTAGCAGAAATGGATCTTAATATGAAACGAGAAATGCCGGTACAGTGCTGTAATCATAAAATGTGTAACGCATATTTTTTATGTTGCAGTTTTATATTCTCGGTGGATTTATAAGTCAATAGAGTGAATAATCTTTCTGTTTTGTGTCACAACGCAAGTCTAAAAGAATGAAAGAAAGTTGATTTGCCGCTTGTCGTTGGCATTACGAATCAAGTCGCAGTCGTCGGACTTTTAATATTGAAGAAGATTATTTGGTATGTTGATACACAATAAAACTCACCCTTATGTAGTTTGAGTTGAAAGTAACGATGTTTTATGTGGTGTGTTTAGTATTTGTATAGTTACCATCAACTAACCTTAAACAATTTATTTACAGTATATGAAATTATCAGTGTGCGGCTAGCATACATTTCGGCATCTTCAGTTCAGTTTCACTGTTACAGTAGCCTTATAAATGACGAAATTTTACACATATATGATGTTCGTTGCCTTGAATTTGTAACAACTGAAATTTCCAACACTTGATATGGACTTTTTATGGTGTCTTATTTATATTATATTACTTGAGATTACTAAATCGACTATGATTTTATGAACTTGCCTGAGAAAATGTTATTTTTCCTCAATTGTATTATCTTTCATACATCTGTGATCCAGTGTTTAACTTGAGTTGACATTGCTACCTGTGGTTTGTGACACCACAATGCTGCAAATGGCTGTCAAGGCTTTATTGCCACATATAAACCTCTTTATTTGATCAGAAATTGTTTTTACCATAAAAATATGACTATAGTGTTTAAAATTTTGTTTAGGCAATGTATTGGCTTGATTTTATTATATGCTTTATATAAATGAAGCATTAAGATATTTCCACATTGTGGTTTGTCTTATCTTTACAACAGTGTACAGTAAGCAATATGATAAATTTGGAGAAATTTAGAAAACTTTGTCATCCTTAGTTTGGAAGAAGAGTTATAACTTTTTACTCTGTTGAACAGTAATCGAATAGGACATATTTGATGAAAGGTTCTTGGGCTACAAGCCGTGTCAGATAGCTGAACGGTGTGTTTTATTTTACCACTTTTTTTTCTAGCATTGTGTGTTGGGATTTTTAAAATGGTAATGTGGAATTTAATTATGTTTTGCTGTCTTGTTAGAAAGGTAGTACCTGTGAAATACATTATGTGGGGTAACCTTGGAGACTAGATTGCTTGCCAGATCTGAAGAAACGTGTGCTGCCTAATACATTAAAATTTTAGATCAGGGGTGCCCAACCCATATGTGAACATTTGCCAAAGTTGATTTTTAAACATTTATATTGTTCTAATTCAGCACATTGTTTCTGAATATTTTTTACACAAGTTTATCATAAGAAAACTTTTAAAATGTGCCATAATTACTACATACAGTTTTTCAGTGTTCAAACTATATTCTTCATTGCATTTTTTAGACATGTTCATAATCACATTATCAAATTTAGCATCCATTTTAATATTATCCTCCCATGTATGCCCAGCTGTTCTGAGAGGTATTCTTTCAAGCTTCTGAACAAAACATTTGTGCGCATTTCTCATCTACCCCATGCTTGCTACACGCTCATCCAATCTTACCGTCTTGATTTTAATATTATTATTATTTCACTTATATTTTGTGATGTTTAATTTACGTAAAAGAATTAGGAATGGTGCTGGATGTATATGCGCGATGGTGGAATGATAATTAGCATGCGAAACCAAAGAATTCTGATAAAACCTACTGCACGTTTTTTGTTGTTGTTGATGCATGTGGAAGTGGACAAGTGGTTTCCAAAACGTGGTTCACGAACACCTTGGAGTACACAGAAAAATTTGTAATGTACTGTTTTGAGGCTTTCACAAGAATACAAGCCATGTTTATAGCGAGTGCTGTCTGATGTCACATTCTTATATGCCAAATTAAATTTTATAGCATAATTATTGTTATAATACATAAATGTAATAAATAACAAATTTAAATGTAGGAATTTTAAAGCATATTTTTAAAACAGATGAAATGTTTTTTTATCAAGAACACATGCATCAATGTAACAAATGGACCAATTTGAAACAATTAGTATTAAAACAATATAATGTAGATATTTGTTTAGTGATGGGGCAATGCTTATAAGACATACAGAAACACAGCATATAAAGTGAGGATAACAACATAAAATAAAAAGTATACGTTTTTATATATGAAAATAGTCATTTGTTAATTAAGAAAGCAATGAAATGGCCTGATGATGGCACGTGTGTGGCGAAACATGTACCTGCCAAGGATATTGTTTGTCAAAAGTGATGCAGATGATTAATGATTTTAATATTGATTACAAATTATTTTAACTGAACAGAGGTTTTGTATAATTACGTGTTGTTGTTATCCCTTAATGGTAACAGGAAGTCTGTTATTGTTTTTCAACGCGATTTGCATAAGCCTGAAATCATTATTCCTTTGAACCAGCTAGAGTAGTAGACGTGCAGTCATCAGCTTCGTCTCTTCAGTGTAAGGATTCATGTAGGGTAACCAGTATCAGAAAATAAAAATTACCCCATTCATTTCTGTGGCTTGTCTCGCAGGCTAGGGAGTGTGATAAAAGGGAAATAATTTTACAGTGTTCACTATCTCGGTTCACTAACCTGTGAAATTAACTTTGATTTACCACACGCATGGTGTTCCATGCCATTATCGAGTTCGTACGTCAGTCCTGTTCGAAAGGTGAAAACAATCGAAACTGAAAATGCTGATAGGTTAGGATGATATTGTCGTTTATGAGTTATATAGTAACTGTTTTCAGCGAGGTATACCAATAAACTAGCCTGTGAAGTGGATGGCAGTTTTATGCGTTATTAGTACGAATTGCATGAAAAGATCGCATGTATTCTGGCCTTCTGACCAGGCATTTGGTATCCATTTGCAGGAAGGCCAACCAAGTAGGGGCAGTGGCATTTGTTTCCGCACAAACAAACAACTTGGCCTTCGCGCATTATATATGCCGTTTAATTTCCGACCAAAAGAAACCATCTACGCCGGGAGTCGAATTCATCAGCTATCCTGACTGAAGTTTTAATAGTTTTCTTAATTGTTTCTATTAATCTAACGCTGAATACGCAAATTCCTTTGGGGGTCTCATGACAATTGTCTGTGATGAGTGATGGAAACCATAGTATCTCGTAACAGCGTTACCGAGGCAAATGGTTATGAATGTTAACAAGTGTGACCAAGATTAAAATACCTTGGAATTTTGTTGTGATTGCTGGGGCGTAACTGTTGTATGGTGTTGTGCCCCCTCCATGTCTTTGTTCATAGGACTAACTGTATTCATAAAATATGTTAATTGTTGTGATGACTGGATTATTCCTTGTAAACTATTTCCTTATCTCGTGGTATTCAATATCACAATTCTCCAATGTCAGTTGCCATAGTTACGTGGACCCTGAGATTTGTCTCAGTGAAAGTCTGTCAGGTTCCGTTATTTTTGAGGGTTTGTCTAGCCTGTTCTCTTTGTCAGCGGATGCTGTGTCTTGAATGGATATTTAGGTGGGCAGATTTGATGATATAATATATTCCATGCAATAAAAGCCACTTGTAGGACATACCATAAATATTAAAGTCGTCGAGTTCATGGGTCATTCCGTGTTGAGTCTTGGCAAATAATTTAACGCTGGAGAATGAATGGTAAGTGTGTGTTAATGCTGGTCCATGAAATCTACAGAGACGGGATTTAATCGAGAGGGAAATAGGTGGGTGGACGTTTTAATCTGTTGCAAGTAGTCCTGTAATCTGTTGTCACGCACAGAAAAATATGGTTTAAAACAATAAATTTCAGCACTTAATACGTATCAAAATTCTTTAGCTATGAACTAGGCCATGTGTAATACGTGTATTATTTTGGATACAAATTAATGTTTTTTGTGATTATAATATTAATTTTCTTGAGATTATAATATAGATTTATGATTGTTCCGTTTTTATTAATTCGATCAGTAGGAGAGTTTTAATCTCATAATATGGAACACAATAGCTTTTACCGTTTTAGAATAGAGAGCATCTTGGAATATCAACATTAATATCTTACAACGCTTAATCTATGAAAATATTCCTTGAAATCATAATCGTGTGCTTTACAAAGTTACATTGATATTCATTTACTGGATACATTGTTTACACAGCTAATAAACAGCGCTGCTTTAAATTATAAATTATGTTCTTGGTAGTTAATAGTAACTAAATATAAATATTTACTATTAATTACCAAGAATATAATTAATTTTGAAGATTTTTAATATAGAGAAGTGTAGTGTCAGACTTGAGTCCATCGTCAAAAGCTACAGATGCAGTTCAACGGATGCACGAAGTGACAAATTCGTAGCCTGTGAAAAGTTTCCTTTCTTAGTCAACTGTTCGGCCATTTTGTAACTGGCACGGACCACACGTATGGTTTCATTGCATCATCTTTGAAATATCTTTTGTTGCTGACGTAATAAAGATTTCACCTAGCTGATTTACAAATTCTTGGCTTATCAGTAAAACGGTCAAACTGACCTTTTTGTTTTGTAGTAACTTTTAAAATTGAACTCCTTGAGAAGTGACGAACTTCATTTGTTTGAAAATAAGACATACAGGCTTGCCATTGCAACAGGGGAAGAAGTAGTTTTTTGTTCATTGTTCTTTGAAAAATCGTCCTTCATCTGTGATTTTTCGTCTTCTTTCAATGGCCATTTAATTTCAGGTAGTAACGAATTTAATTCAAAACTTTTATTGCAAATGACACAGCAGAAAAACGTGACAGTGGCAAAAACAGGTTAACTGAAGGATATTGTGTCTAATCAAATATTATTCCATGAAGTGTGAAATATTGATTGTAACCGGAGATTGATTAACAATGACTTAGAAATATTTAGTCTGAAATGAATTCACGGAATCCGTGAAACGAATGTGGCAACACTAAAAAGAGAGTTTGCTCAAGGTTTATTTAAAAGCGTTGTTGTTAGCTTCTAAAAAGTTTTGATGTCATGTCATTATTAACTTTATAATTCTTCAGTTGTAAATATCACAGTAATTTCCGTAGGTTTGTCTCCTGTTTGTAATTGAATTACGATACTTTTACACGTGTCATTGTGTGATTTATATTTACGTGGTCTCTGTTCATGATTATAACCTCTTCATTTGTATGCGTGATGAAATTACTTTTTATGATGTCATTTGGAGTTGTTGGCATATCGAAATGCGCACTGGACGATTCGTGTGCTCTGCGCACCGAGTGTCGTGTAACCAGTATGTGTTTTAGGAGAGACCGTGTAAGTTGTTTCATTATTCTGACAACCAGATTCGTAAAAGAAACTCCATACTCATGTGTGATGACCATGGAGATCATTTCCGTGGAGGTATAGCGGCAAGGGTGTGAATCTAATCACGCATCTAGTGTTGAGGTTAAGAATTTTCGTACGTCGTATTGGCTTGGAGTTAATTAAGCACAATGATACGTTTTTGTCGTAGTGTTTGCTTTATCATAGTACAATGTTTTTATGATTTGTGGTACGTTACATGGAAGATTTGTGACGCTTAGTGCAGTGTTAAGACTGTTTTTTGATGTGATACGCAACTGAGCGGAGAGAATGATTCGCTTCCTACAGCTTATTTGCGTAATTGTCGCTAACTTTGCGTGTGAGGGTTTCATGTAATTGATGATTAGCTAAAAGACCTTGTTCTGATTACCACCGACACACATGGAAATAACCAGCCAAGTAGAAGCAGCATTTGAAGACAATGGCTCCAACGTACTTTATAGATGTTCGAACGTAACTTGCTGTGATTTATTGTAATTTTTGTAATGCAAGTTTCTTTGTGTCAAATGTAGTGTAAAGTTAACAGTTGCCTGTACCTGTGTCAGGTCTTAACATAATATTTGCATTTGTTTTCTTTCTAACCCACAAGCTAGTGACGCATGGGTACAATATAAGTAATTTGTTAATAGTTTAGACATTTTCGTTTGTGAGGTTATGGAATTTTATTTCTTCCAGGAGAATCTTAAAATCACGATCACCGAAGAACAGTTAAGTCCTCAGCATTGTTACACATCTTTTTTTGCGGGCCCCACTGGGTCCTCGAACATACGGTTGGCGATTCATGATATACCTACAGTACGCGACTGTAATCTTGAGACTTATGTTACGCGTTATGTTGTTAAATATGTATAAACTTGATATTACGTTTCGAGGTTTCATTAAAATACACCAGATATTTAATTAATACATTTATGTTTATGATGTACCTTAAACTGCGTTAACCAGTTGATTTTTGTAATGGTGAAGTGTTGTGTTTACTTCGCGGTACGGACTCAATTCTTAAATATTAGTTAGACGAGCTTCGGTTTCAGAGGGTTAATGGTCAGAAGTGAAACACGGTGTTATTTTTACATTTCTCTCGTCCTTGGTAACTATGCCTCTTAGTTACAGTTGTTTGCGCTCCGGACGATACATTCGTCCAGGTTGCGGAAATTCGAGACATTCGAATTAGTGGTTGTATTACGCTGCACTTCGTCATAGACATTTGAGTATGGTACTGCACGGGCAAAGTCTGTGGAAAAGCACGAAATTGATGATGTTCGCAGAAATATCTTAGCAAGAGGACGGAGGCAGGGGGAAGAAGTTAGATATCATTCCAATACTTAACTCAAGGTCGAGGTCGAGGTCGAGGAGCATCGCGAGTTGTGTTTCGAACGTTTTCAAGTGGAATAAACAAGCAGGTTAGTTTTCGTACCTTATCGCACTAAATGTAACCATGCCGACAGGAGACCACAGAGGGTGTAACAGTACGTACTTATAGAATATATTTTGTAGGCGTATTCATTATTGCAGATTATTTATGTACGTTGTTTCAACGTCGGGCGCTTTTGGTATTGGTGATCGTTGTTGGAACGAATGACGAAAAACTGGAAGATCTCTTGTTGTCTTTCGTGAAGAAGGCGAGTCTGTGTCGTGGACCAGTCGTCAGAGACTATTAAAGGCAGTTATTAGGTCAACTCTTTATCGTAATCTGTAACAGTGTTATGAAATTCAATTGAAAAATTAAATTGCAGCGTTTTAGGAAAGATGCTTTCTTCAGGGGAGCGGCCGATTGGAAGAATTGTAGTCATCAGATGCGTGTGGGATTTCCCCTGGAAACGAGATAAGTCGAGATTTAAAATTGTCTGAAGAATTTTCGTATGTGATCTCGTTCTCTCAGCTTCATACTGTGTCATCCTAAATTGTTCATTTGTATACATTATTTCCGAAATTAATGGTTGTGTTATATGTAACTTTTCATTTCTATTCTTGTAGATGGCTTCCTGGTTTTTCGCGATGATGGTCATCCTAATGGGTTGGCAACTGGGAGTTTCTTCAGCGACAGTAGCAGTTGAATCCATTAGCCTCCTTGTTCAAAAGTATTCTGGTTCTACAGGGCTTATAACTATAGAGCAGATGCAACAAATTCTTGATAGAATTTGTACGTGCTCATCTGATGTTAGTAATATAGACACTGTTAATTCTCTGCAGAGGAACTGTACATCTGGCCAAGACTGCAGCTATATCAACAATGTAAGATTCATTTTTAACGCACTGCTTAAACAGCCAATTACAACCATTGCTGTTACGTAAAAAATTTACGAACATTCGAATAAACACATACACCAAATTCACGCATGTGTACGTACTTAACACTATTACGGGATGTTACGTAAATTTAAACAAAAATTTGATAGAAATGTTTATCAATTTACTAATTGCACGGTGGAAGTACATCTCACACAAGTTCTGCATGTTCGATACAAAGTCTGGCTGTTGTAACAACGTTAGGATTATAGTTATAGTATAATATTTAAAAGACTATGTGATGACAGATTAATTTTTAATGTTTTTCTAATACATAATTTTCATTTATTATTTATTTTCTGCCAGTGGTGCAAATTTTAGTTTCCCCTAACCCTATTTTATTTATTTATTCTGTTTTTTACGCATAATGCATTAGGAACATAACCCTAAAATTCAGCAAGTTTTTAGATCGTGTTTGTTTATGTCATGAATATATCCTTTGTTTCTTCTTTAGACATGCTTGTCAGCAGTGGACGTATTTAGGAAGTTGAATATAAAGGATGAGAAAGTGAATGTCGCTTCATTTGAACTTGCCTGTCCTGTGATATTGGAACAATTAGAGAAATATGTCTGCAACAGAGATCAACGTGGCCCTGACAGTGCTGATCTGATAACTAAGCCATCTGCAACTGAAGGTTATCATTCCTTTATATACTAACCGATCCCATAATGCTCAGTCTTTGTTTAGAAGCTAACAGTCTCTTGAGCGGCCCATCCACGTACGAGCCCGGCTGGCCCATCCACGTACGAGCCAAACTCGTTTGTGGGTGGGGTGTCACGAGCCGAGTCTGCTACGCATGCGCGGTGAAATATATCCGAGTCCGGCTCACGAGTCAGACTCGTACGTGGATGGGCCGCTTAAGACACAAAATTCCCTGCCGTTCATGAAACATACAGGTTCATAACCATATTTACAAATCTGCCACTCTGGGCTTGATCCTGAGCCATATGAGTCCAATCTATACCTTTCCACCCTATTTAAGATCAGTTTTAATACACTGTCCTTCCATCTATGCCTAGATCACTCAAGTGGCCTTTCTGGTTTTCCGAATACATTTGTACAAAAATTCTCCTACCATTTTCTTGGTAGTTCAAGCTGACTCTTTTGATTTTTATTAGTTAAGAATGTGAGAAATTAAATTTGACTGTGGAATGCTCCTTATTTTTTTCTGTCTTGTCGTACGAGCTATAAAGTACAAGTTAACTGTCAGAGCGCTCTGAGATATGTTGAAAACTAAAAAAACCTATTGGTTATGATTAATTCTGTAAATTGAATAATATAATGCATCTGGATATAGATGTTGCGCAGAATTATTGATGTTAGCCCAATTACAGAGTGCTTTAATTTTGTTTTGAAACATTTAAAGAAAATGGAAATACAAAAAATTAATTACTTAGCTGCAAATTAAATTTTGAAAGAAAAAAAATATATTGTTTTGTCTGTAGGAATCAAATATTTTTAATAATTTCCAAATTATGACATAGCTGATTGACATATTTTTCTTTACTAACAGCATAATTATTACAGATAATTTAAAGCATATAACAAATAATTAAACCATCTAGTGTCAAGTACATTCAAAATCTCTTCTTTTTCTTCACTCAGTAATAATTATATATTTGTGATGATAACAATACACGTCCATTTAAACACATTAGTTAACAAAACAGTTGTGCTTCAACAAAGAGAAAGCAACAATTAACCTCCTACATTTGAGTAGAAGAAACGTAAGATTAGAGAAGTTGATGGCACTAACTTGTGCACGTTCTCCGTACCCCATTTTAGTGATGCTGCTGAATAACAAAGGATCTTTCTTCTCTTGCCAGTGTGGGGTCTGGGTTTCCTGTTCGTTACAGTAATCAGTTTGTGCTCTCTGATGGGTGTCAGTGTTCTGCCCTTCATGGATAAGCATTTCTACAAGCAGCTGCTTACCGGTCTAATCGGCCTTGCAGTTGGCTCCCTTGCAGCAAGTTCGCTCTTCCATTTGATCCCTCAGGTGAGTAACGCTTGCTATAAACAATACGTTATCCTCTCAAGCAGTGGTAACTATCATTCAAACAAACAACAAACTGTCGTGTAGTAGAATCAAACGCTTAATCGAGTTATTGGACGTAATCCATCACTTTACGTCCTCTTTATGTTGTCTCCTTAAAATCCTTCTTAATGTTATCTTGCCACCTCTTCTATCTTTCAAGTGACTTTCTTCCAAGATTTCACCAAAAATTCTGCATGCATTTATGGTATACCTCCTCCACGCAGTATGTGCGCTCTGTCATATGTCAGAACAATTAATCTAGATTCAGTACTGTCTGACGACTTGGTATTTTGTTGACATTGCTTCAGTATCCAATATTGTTTTGCTGGCAAGGCTAAGTTGGGACAGCCGAGTTCTTTGAAATGTCAACAAACCAGCGTACCACCTCACCCAAGAATAGAAATAAAATTATGCACGTTTTTGTTGCACCGTTGTGAAGTACGGGACAAGGGTGAAATGTCTTCAGTGGATCATCATCTGTTGAGGTGGAAGACATATTCCAGAGATCTGAAGTGGCTTTAATTTTAGTTCCAAGGTGCAATTCTAGATAGACTGCTGCTGTATATATATATATATATATATATTGTATTAATAAGAAGCTTCTTTCCCAGGCATTTGGCCTCACAAATTCAGATGGTTACCACAACTACTTAAACCGGTCGTTGATGATGTGGGCTGGTATCTGGGTATTTTTCATGACTGAAAGGATTATGAAAATGATAACTGATCACAGACAAGTAAGTGCCTGCACATTATATAATTTAATTTATTTATTTATATTGGATCATGCTATTTGGAAAATGTATTTTGTATGAGGATTTATGAACACTACATATGCACTTCTCACTTAAGGAATTACATGATGAATCTGCAGTCACATGAAGATGGCTATCTTCTGCGTTGTAGCATGGTGTAGTCTAGCAGACGTTTGCAGACATTTCAGAGGTGCTTGCTTCCTCCGTCATCACAGTGACTACGCAGCGCAAAAGCCCAGAAGACAGCCGTCTTCATACTCGCGGCCACGAGAACCTCAAATCTCACACCACATTGATATGTTGTGCAACGTTACAATTCAACCCTCAGTTGGAAACAGCCCTGTCTTTACGTCTTCTCACACTTCATTTCATGAAACATTAATCATCAGTATATTCTGATAAGTTGTGTACATTTAGTATCAGAGCCGGCGGTCCCATGTCGTAGATCTATGGCATGTAAAAGAACCTTACGAGCATGAACGAGATGTTTCGTAAGCAAAATTCAGCGGCCATTTCTCACCCAATTCTCTCCTGATTCACTAATAGATGGCTCTAGCAGTCAAATCAGGATTGAGTAGAAATTGTGCAGAGGCAGTGGGCTTGCCACTCGCTACTCATAAATGCACGCTTCAAAGACAAATAAACCTCCCGCATCGGAGGAGGCCAAGACTCGTTTCGGGTTGTTGCGACATAGAAATAAAGAAGTAGCCAATGGTCAGTGTTGCCTAACTGTGTCATTTTTCTAGAAAGAGGAACGTACTTCAGCATGCGCGTACCCAAGCAATGAAGTGTCTGTGGAAGTTGTGTCAAGCATCTCGAGTCCTACGGAGCTCATCCCACATCTTCATCAGGAGCTGGAGCCCCTTCAGGAACGTGAGTGCTCAGAACAGAACGCCCGCGAGGAACCCAACTGCCTTCATACAAATCCTGGAATTATTTATGGCTGCCAGGAACAGGCTATAAAGGCTTCATTTGGCCATCAGGAGGTAAGGTTAGTTCAAATAAATGAACCATATATCACTTCAAAAATTTATTATTCTACGTTACTATTTCTATCTGCTGCTGGAAATATTCACATGAAGTCCCTTCCTGTAATGCAGCCTTCATTGTGAAGACGTGAAATTGTTCTCTGGTTTCTGGTAAACAGTTGAACTTTCAATAATGTTTTGTGTTTGTCTTGTCTATTTCAGATTTATTACAACTTCAGGTAATGAACCATGTTCTTATGTGTGAGTGTGTGTAAATTGTGTGAAGACTGCAAATCAAATTGAAATGTAGCAGATCGACAACATGACGCTAAAATATAATCTTATTTTAAAATGTATGTGTTAATGATGTCATTTCAAGACATCATGCCAATATGAATTAGATGAGTCCACGTCGTACAATTCCAATTTAATTTAAGTCATTGGTTGAGGTAAACTGCAGTGTTAATTATTAAGGAGCTGCTGTTTAAGTCATTTGCGCCTCTTAGCTCTGAACTTCATACTGGATACTGGGAACGACCCGTTCTTCAAGTGCCTGAGCACTGCGGGTCCCAACTTTTCGTTGGCTTGATCTGTGGACATTCAATAGGACTCCTTGGATAAGGGATCGGCCCGTCGCAAGGCCTCTACCTGCACACAGGACAGCACAACACAGAAAGACGCAGACAACATCCATGGCTTGAGTGGGATTCGAACCCACGGTCCCAGCGACCAAGTGGCACAAGGCCCACGCCTCAGACCCGCAGCCACTGCGGACCCCGAACTTCATACAGCAGACACAAATCTGCTACCTGTGATTTAAGTCCCATGTTCTTGGTCCTATTTCAGAAACCACGTATCAACCATTCACACGGACATGAACATGTGATGCATTTTGAGCAAGGGAAGGACAGTGCCATTGCTACCGTCGCTTGGATGGTTGTGTTTGGTGATGGGCTCCACAATTTCATTGATGGATTGTCCATTGGTGCGGCATTCAATGAGAGTTTGCTCACTGGGGTCAGCATAAGTGTGGCTGTAATGTGCGAGGAATTTCCTCATGAGTTAGGTAATATTTAATTATTTGTTTTTTACCATTTATGTCTTTACAGATAATAATAAAGGCTGAATGCTGAATAGCATGTCTGTTTCGAATTCAAGGACTTAAGGACCGTAGGGGAAACTGGCAGTAGGTTATGTTAATCTGCCGTGTCTACAGGTTAGAGTTAGGACCGTACTATAAAAACTAGGGCCTTAGTACCAGTGGCAGGCTCTTGTGATCACGATAATAAGCTTTCAGGTTCTATAAGAGATGAGCGTTTCTTGACTAGATGAGATTGCTGTTAACGTCTCAAGGACTCTGCTCCATGTTGTTGGTCAATTTTGAACTTGAAGAGGACAGTCATTAACTTTAATAGGATCTGAGGTTCTCTTGGCAGTGACTATGGCTTCTGGGTTGTAGTGCCGTGTAGTTTATCGTTGTTTCAGGGCGATGACGAGGCAGGAAGGGCCTCTGAAATGTTGGTAGATTTCTATCAGATTAAACAGTTCTATAGCCCAGGAGACAGCCATCTTTGTAGTCGGAAATCTCATTTACGGAATGCGTAAAAACTACAGAAGAAACAGTGGTTTTTCCTCTGACTTTCGGGTTAATGCAGAAACAGCCGTGTGGAGTGCCTGGTTTTTTTTTTTGTCATTTTGTCCAGCTTTTATTAATGCTGATTATTTTATGTCAATTTCAGGATGGATATTTTCTGTATAATTTCATATTGTGTGTAATCTGTAGCAGCACCAGACTATAATACTATAAGCTTTTTTTTGCTTTTATTTTTTATTGAAAACTAGGGTTGTTTGTCTTATATACAAATCGTGCCTGAAGAGAAGATGAATGGTAGTAATTTTTCAGTGTGTATTGTAAAATGTGCAGTGAGTAACTGTATTTTGTCTCTACAAATCATGTCCCTTAATTTATATGTTCATGTACGTCAATTATTGTGTTTCAACTGCAGAGGTTAGTGACATAAGGATGATCATGTGTGAAGAGTAGAGAAGAATTTGGATGTCCCCTGGCATATTTGAAAGTACTTTATTAAGACTCACAAGGAGGAACTGAGGAAAATCATGAGGAACCTCAGGATGTGCTGTTGTCTGGCCAGGATTTCAGTAACTAATCTGCGAAATAAAATTCAGATGCATTACTGCCGTACCAACCTGTTTAGGCTACACATTTTAACTCTTGTCAGGAAAGATGTTTGTTGTCTGAGTGATGTTTGTTGATGTAAGTAATGTTTTTACGTACATAACAGATTTTGCTTCTATTACCAGATGTTTATGTATACTAATTTTCTCTTGTTTTCTTTCTTAATAAAAGTAATCCAATGTATTTCAGGTGATTTTGCAGTACTTTTAAATGCTGGTATGACCATGAAACAAGCTCTTATCTACAACTTCCTGTCTGCCTGTACCTGTTATATTGGTTTGGTGTTTGGGATCTTGCTTGGCGAAATTGAAGCCAGCAGTTATATCTTTGGTTTTGCAGCGGGAATGTTCATGTATATATCACTCGTGGACATGGTATGTATGTATATATGTGCGACTCCATCAGGTCTTGCTTATAAACCTATTACGTGTATTAGTTTTGACATATGTTAAAATCAATGAAACATTTGTTGTGAGCACACTTGCGCATACGTGCGTGCACACATGAACACATTTGAGCATGCATATGTGTGTGTGTTTACTGGAATAGAGACACCTCTTATTCCACACATACAAAGCCTGATGTATGATGAGATTTGTAGTTGTGAAAATGTAAATATTACACATCTGACAGTTGTAGTCGGTCTAGTAATGCATGACATAATAACTGAGGTTTTATTTAATTTATTAAAATATTAACTGCATGGGGAAGAGTACTTGAGAAACTGTTAGTTGCTCATATAGTCGAGAGTTATACATCTTTTACGGGACTCCCCACAGAATTCTCTTTATGGCATCTGTCTTTATGGATGAGAAACAAGCAAGGAAATACTTTCCACATTTTGCCTGTTCTAAGATTTTGTGATTTATGTAAAGGTGGTTGGTTGCTTATCCGTGACAGTTTATAGGATTATCGGGTTGACTGGTGAATGTGGGGTTGTTACTGGCATTTTATAGTGCACAATCTCCGCTAGCTTCGTGATGGGTTCATGCTGAGTAAGGAAGTTAATATGAATTTACAAAGACTTTTTCATACTGTGATACAGACTATTTAAACTATGTAGGTATGCCTATTGTAGTATATTTTCTTTATTTACAAAATGTGGGATCACAGTATGTTTATATTCATTTTTAGTTTCAGAGGTCATACTGCCTCCGTCATCAGGGCCCTGATGACGGAGGCAGTATGACCTCTGAAACATCGGTAAACATCTACCATACTACATGGTGCTACAACCCAGAAGACAGAAATCTTCATATTCACGGCTGTGAAAACCTCAAATCTTACAATTATTTCCTTGTCTGATCGGAGTTTCCTGTTGCATAATTAGAAAAGTGGTTCACATGCATAACAACTGCCATAGGGTAAGCTTGAATTGTGATTGTGTTTTATAATTTGCTTTCAAGGTCCCAGAAATGAATGAGGTGGCAGAAGAAGCTAGCAAAGTGAGCTTGAAGAAAGCATTCCACACCTTGTTTCTACAGAATGTTGGCATGGGTATAGGTATTTTAGCTCTCTACGTTTTGGCACGTTATCAAGACAGCATCAATTTCGGTTGAAGATTTCAACTTTCAGAAAAGTGGTTTTCTTAAAACATTTGTTTACAGTTTAAGTAACGAGAGTGAGCATGTCATGTTCCAAGATACAATGTGAATGCTATTTAAATAACAGATTAAATTTATGTTTTAGAAAGTCCCTTTTAAAACAAATATTAAGGAATCTTAAACATTGCTACATTTGTAACTTTTATGCTGTAATTTTTTTCATACAAATGCACAAATATGAACCACTACATATACTCGGTGAAAGAAAATTTAAATACAGTTTAACCTTTATTGTACTGGAATTGGGGATTTAAATTATTCTGTAACACAGCTACGAGTCAGTTTTAAACTCCAGGTTAAATGGCTTAGTGATGTGATAGTGCAGCGTACATTCAGGGAGATCATATCTGAGCTGTGATGCACATTTGATAAAGGTTACAAATGTAAAGAGAGTTTATTACAGAGCATTCTCGAAGGGGACAGCGGAGGTAGTTTATACTCTGAAATAATAGCAGCTATTACTGCGACTTCCGTGTAAAGGATCTGTAACAAAGTATTTTTTTTATTAAAGGTGTGAAAAGAGGTTTTCAGGCTAAAACATTCCTGAAAAGGTTGGTATTTATTACATAAATTAATTTTGATCATGTCCCATTTTTGCCAAAATGTAACATGACCTCAAATATGAGCACACCGAATTTGAAACTTTGAAGAAAGGAAAATATGTCTTCAAATCCATTGTAAAAAATTATTTGATTAGCTTCTAAATATGGTTAATAACTATCAATGTGTTAACACTTAGTATGTGCTTGTTCATGTAATTTAATTTAATTTATATTATTTATTGGACATGTAAAAATTGTTTTGTGATAAAAGAGTTGAAATTTTGTCTCTGACTATACCTTTATTAGAACCTGCCTATTGTGTATCTGTTTACTAACCGCTGAATTACATGGTAAGTTGTTATATAAACAGCAAATTAAAATTAAATCAGTCATTCATTATACTACGGTAACTTGGCCACAGTCCGATTTCTTGTGGTTTTGTAAACAGTGTCCCAGTTACAGAAATGGTTTTGTAGGGGAGGGGATGAAAACAGTATGTCCGTATTATACTTAGTGGGTTTGGTGAATATGGTGGGGCTTAACAAAGGAACAGTCAGGGCTGTGTTTATAAGGAGGAAGGAAGCGTGACTAGTAACTCTGTTAAAATTAGTGTGTATTATGCATTATGGTTCAGGTCACAGTGGCTGCACGATCTGACATATGGGACTTGTTTGCATGGCCACTAGGACTGTGGGTTTAAATCCCACTCAAGTTATGGATGTTTGTTTTTGTATTTTTGTGTTGTACTGTCCTGTATAGGTAAGTGGCTTTGTGACAGGCTGATCACTTGCCCAAGGTGTCCTACCAAGTGTCAAAATAGATAAAGTACCCTCCCATATGGGTGGAGGGGGAAGGACATAAAAGAGAGACAAGAGGTATGGTGTTACAACCTACAAGCCATCATTGTACTCACTGCTGTGAAAACCTCAGATCCTACATGTACAAATCCTGTATGGCCCCATGCATTATAATTATTTTTGGAGCTTCAAAATATAATTTTACAAGTAAATATATATCATGTTTCTTTCAGAATGTTGTTTGTAATAGGCACTGATAGGAAGATTTTTATAGTTCTTATTATATTTCCTCTTTATGTGGGTCATATGACAGCAGGGCCCTCTCCATTTATCTTTTTTCCCACAGCTCCTCTTTCTCCAATGTTCTTTCTTTTGTACATCTTTCATAACCTCTTATTCTCATCTTGATTTCAGTCACCCTTTCACTTTTATGTCAAAATTTATCCATAGAACCTTTTTATTATCTGTGATAATAGGTGTTGCTACACTTCCCAGCGGATATATTGTGTTGCCGAAATTTAGTCTTTCGGTTTACATGTAACCCGTGGTGATTTTAATCGTTGCTGCTGTTTTCATAATGGTTTTTTTCCGTGGTGGTGTGTGTGTGTGATGACAGGTATTGATATTGCATTATATTTATTTGGTATTTGCGATGGAAGTAACAAAGTTCGATGCAGTGTGCCGTCATTGAAAGAAGAGAATTTTAAAATCAGAAAATTCTTTGTTTTCATTTATGTTCCGATAGTAATGTCGGCTGTTACTGCGTGGGTTTTGTCCGCTTTAAATTACAGTTTTCATGCATTAATTATAGAATTGTGTGTATTCTTTATTTTTTCTGAAAGAAATCTATGGACGTGTGTTATTTACATCACCTACGCTCTGAGCATACGAGTATAATGAATTTGTACTGTAACAGATTGTTTGATGTTTTTGTCACGAAGATTAGTTTCAACTTACCAGGTCAGTGGCTCCGCTTCGAAGTTCAGATTCGTTAGCATTTCTTTTCTAATTTTTCTCATGCTTTTGCCCTCGACATTGTTTTAGTTATGTGCAGTTAACAACGGCGTTTTAGTTCTTATAAACAACTGTCTTAATTGCAGTAACATATTTTATGCAGGTGCAGTTTGGATGATAAGAAGAACGATTTAGAACTGTTTTGAGTCAGCTAGCTCGTGTACATTTTCCGATACTCCAACAAATTTTATGTGTTGTGGTGTCAATGAATCTTTTTTGCATCGAGGTACTGTAATTATTTGGTCTGTTGTTGGTATGTTTTTTTGTACACAGTTACACGTACAAATCCTGTATGGCCCCATGCATTATAATTATTTTTGGAGCTTCAAAATATAATTTTACAAGTAAATATATATCATGTTTCTTTCAGAATGTTGTTTGTAATAGGCACTGATAGGAAGATTTTTATAGTTCTTATTATATTTCCTCTTTATGTGGGTCATATGACAGCAGGGCCCTCTCCATTTATCTTTTTTCCCACAGCTCCTCTTTCTCCAATGTTCTTTCTTTTGTACATCTTTCATAACCTCTTATTCTCATCTTGATTTCAGTCACCCTTTCACTTTTATGTCAAAATTTATCCATAGAACCTTTTTATTATCTGTGATAATAGGTGTTGCTACACTTCCCAGCGGATATATTGTGTTGCCGAAATTTAGTCTTTCGGTTTACATGTAACCCGTGGTGATTTTAATCGTTGCTGCTGTTTTCATAATGGTTTTTTTCCGTGGTGGTGTGTGTGTGTGATGACAGGTATTGATATTGCATTATATTTATTTGGTATTTGCGATGGAAGTAACAAAGTTCGATGCAGTGTGCCGTCATTGAAAGAAGAGAATTTTAAAATCAGAAAATTCTTTGTTTTCATTTATGTTCCGATAGTAATGTCGGCTGTTACTGCGTGGGTTTTGTCCGCTTTAAATTACAGTTTTCATGCATTAATTATAGAATTGTGTGTATTCTTTATTTTTTCTGAAAGAAATCTATGGACGTGTGTTATTTACATCACCTACGCTCTGAGCATACGAGTATAATGAATTTGTACTGTAACAGATTGTTTGATGTTTTTGTCACGAAGATTAGTTTCAACTTACCAGGTCAGTGGCTCCGCTTCGAAGTTCAGATTCGTTAGCATTTCTTTTCTAATTTTTCTCATGCTTTTGCCCTCGACATTGTTTTAGTTATGTGCAGTTAACAACGGCGTTTTAGTTCTTATAAACAACTGTCTTAATTGCAGTAACATATTTTATGCAGGTGCAGTTTGGATGATAAGAAGAACGATTTAGAACTGTTTTGAGTCAGCTAGCTCGTGTACATTTTCCGATACTCCAACAAATTTTATGTGTTGTGGTGTCAATGAATCTTTTTTGCATCGAGGTACTGTAATTATTTGGTCTGTTGTTGGTATGTTTTTTTGTACACAGTTACACATTCTTATCTGGGATTTACAGAATGCAAGGAAAGTAATCTGATATAGTCTTGTCTAATCTAACCTAAAGAAATGTCATTGTGAATAATTTATCCACAAATTTTCTATGCTTCATTATGGAGTGATCTTTACTTTCTTAACTTCTCAAATTTCTTTCCTGAAATTAATTTTTCTGCTCTTATAATTTTTTTGTTTGTTTGGTTTAATTGCAGTACATTCATAAACATATTTTTTGATAATTGTACACTTTTGTTGGAAAGACTGAATGCATGAACATTAATGACTGCAATGAGGGAATTAGTGGACAGCTGTGAAAATGAACATAGCAGCGAAGTTGAGACACACGATGTGGGTGGCCACTCTCACTGTGACACATGTATCAAAGTGACCAAATGTATGGTGCAGCCAACTCGTAATGAAAGTTGTAAGATAGTGACGTGTGAGTTGAACTGTGGATTTAGCTTCCATGCTTGTAAATTAACAGAACACAAACTTCTTTGCGCTTATGAGAAAGTAGCTTGCATAAATGCAGGAAATGGCTGTCCTGTTACTTTAATGCGTCATCAGAGAGCAAGCCATTTGGAAACCTGCCCGGCAAGTGTAGTTACCTGCAATATGGGATGGAACCGGTGGTCTGTGTGCTCCCAGGAGCACCAGATGCGCTCTGCGTTTGATCTACTGAACCCACAAACAAAGAAGGGGCAGCTGGGTATGTAAATATCTGTTGCACAACATTTGACCCACACAGGGTTCTAGCTCTTAGGGGAGGTGTTACATTTGAATAAAATGTTTATAATTATCAATGTATATAAACATATGTAATTATGTGTAGAAAATGGTTATGCATTTTATATATTTTTATCATGTTATGTCTTATAATTTCATTTTGGTCTCATGAAACTATAATATGTATTAATGTTCTAATAAACAAAATTCACAGAGGAAGAAAGGGAAATTTGTGTTGACTGTAGAGAAGTTTTGTAATTCTCTTGAAGGAGCTGAGTATAACCTTGAAAGACTTAAGAGTTGTTTGCTCTGTTAGTTGAAATATTGATCCTGATTCATAGTTGAGCTAATATAGTACATTTGATTCATTTTAATGTGGTGAATTTAAATAAGTATCACTTGTGTAGGTATACTTAAATTGTTACAGATGTAGCATTAGTTCTGCATGATCAGAAGAGGCTGAATGAGTGGATGAAAATGGCTCTTCAAACAAGGCATGTGCTTCAGAACAATCTGACAAAGTATTTTTCAGAAGTACCGTTCCATACTTGGTCTTCGTGTGAAGGAGAGAATTCTGTCTTTGTACCCAGTATCAGTGATGAGGATGACAAGTCATGGGAATGCAAGAAAGCTCCTCCTGGTAAGTTTCAGTATCGTAACGTTTTATGGGACGGAGCTCAGACTGGACCGTCATATGTGACTGGGTGTCGTATTTGCTTCATTAATGTTAATCATATGAAGTAGCTATGCTTTAACAACATGATTTAACTCTTCATACAAGTGGTTTATGCTGGTAGGATACAATACTGCTTGTCCTTGAGATCAGTAAATTCTTATTATTATTGCAAATTTACTTGAGATTTCCGCGATCCTTTTTATAGCTTAACATAGTATAATCTAGTAAAATGTAACATTTCCTATGTAATGTACTAAAATATAGTAATTTAAATTTAAATTCATTAGGCTTGTAATGGTGCTACAAAAGACGACGTGGCACGAATGTATAAAAGTCTCGTCAGTGACGTTTTAGGCAGTGGTTAGGTGCTGTCATTGTTGTAAACAATGATGAATCCTTTTTGTTTAATCTGATTAAATTTATATTTAAGTATGCACGTATATGACTACCTTGCTTCCTAATGTTGATTAACATCAAATGAACATTAGTTAATGTGACTGGAAGGATGTAGAGCTTCTGACTTATCTGAAAGGTTGTATGCACTGTTACACGTTCTTTTTTTTTTTTCAGGCCTACAAAGCAGTGTGTGTGGAGAACTTTACAGAGTTAGAAGGGGCAGTGTCAATGATTCAATGATAGATCCTCTTGCTCATATTACCACAAAGTCGCATTCTCTGGGACATAATGGTACACCAGAATTTATAAATACCGACAACCCGAATACTCAAGAAAATTCAGTTTGTGGTATGGAGTACAGTATCGCATCACCCCCATCTCTTTTGAATGGAAGTTTAAAAAGTGAGATTGACCAGAGTCAAGATTCATATTCTAAAACCAATACAGTAATACTGAATAGTGATCGAAGTAAATCATCGCCAGTCGGCGTTAATACGCAATCAGAGTATCTCGAAATGACTCGAGACTCCAGGGAGGCTTTGTCACATAATTTCGGTGCTGGTGACTCAACGTGTAGCGAACAGAATGGACATTATAGAGTATGTTTTGTAAATAATACTCAAGTAAATGATATATTTTCTGCTTCCATGACAGGTCATGCAAGCTCAGTTATTTCCCCTCCCCCGTCTGGTCCTCCCATGGTCGTGTCCTTGGGTTTGGATATCACTTTAGGAACCATCACACGCTATCATTCAAAACCACATGATAAGTATGCCTTCCTCTGCGCGCAAGAATTCCGTCGTGATGAATATTCGTGGCATTACAAGAATGTTCATAATGACATTCATGGTGGATTGAATGGGTGGTTAGAACATCGTTGTCCGCTGGCACATTATGGTTGTATGTACAGTTTGCGTCGACTTTATCCGACAACGAAGGGTGCCACTGTGATTCATAATGAGACTCTTGAGAGTTTTGGAGTGAAACCGTTTGTTCCTTACGATATTCCAGTGTTAAACCACTGTTCTAAAGTTACTAAAAGTATTGTCCAATCAACGTCTCATAAGAAGTCCAACAGTTTTTCAGGATCACATGTACAAAATTCAGAGGACACCCAAGATTGGTCTGTGATATCTTCTCAACCTCTGGCATTATGTCAGCTTCCATTCGAAGTTCTCAGGCATGTGTGCCGTTTTCTGGACTCCTTCAGGTGTGTGTATATTGATATTTTTACTAGGGCACAAATAATTTATAGCATTTGTGTTTGTTACGTTCATACTTCACGCCTAAGGCATAGACAACAAATGCATTTGTGACTAGAATTTTGACTGCTATTTTAAGGAAACCTGAAATCATTCACATAATTAATCAAAAGGGAACATGGAAAAACAGTGCAGAATGCAGTAAACATTGTAAATAATACATGAAATTACTTCTCTCTCTCTCCAAGTCAAAATTTGGATGGAGTCAAGTATTATTTACCTCTTTTGTTGTGTTGTTTTAGCTTGTGTAACTTGGCTCTAACTTGTCGTCGTTTGCGTGAGGTATGTTGTTCTTTGTTGGAGGAGAGGGGACTTGTGGTACAGCAGTGGAAGAAAAGTCGTATTGGGTCCCGAGTTACGTGGACAGTCGCTTATAAGGTAACAAAAACTTTCTGTTTTGAAGCGGATTTGGTTGGCCCAGTTAATCTCATATTATTCCATTGTCAGATTTTAACAAGAAGAGTCATATTAATTAATGTAGCCACAGTTTATGGTTATATTTTCTACATTATTTCCAGTGGACTGTATGAAAATCCAATTATCTTTTAAAATTATACGGTGTTCAAATGAAAATAGTGTGACCTTCCATTCTGAAACTTTGATTTTTTGTGTTACTGTTGGCAGAGGGATATTGAAGTGTTAAACTGAGAGATGATATCAGTTATAAACAAATAAAAAATATCTAAAGTAATTCTGTATCTCTGTCATTGAAAATTTAATTGCCTTTGGAAAATTTGGTTTCTAGCACCAGCATGGAATAATGTTTTCAAGAACTGTGAAATATTTATGTTTGTTATGGAGGGAAGTTGTGATTCTTGAGGTTTTTGTGAAAATATCGCAATTCTGTAACTTGTCGTCTGCATTGCCTCTTTATTATAGAAGATTTCTTAGCTTAATTAATTATTCTTGTCCATCTATTCACAATTTAAAATTAAATATATATCTTCACAATATGACGCAACTATACCAACTTATGAATTCTTAGCTTAATATTGAATTATTTTTCAGCGCTGGTTTTTTAGCACAGGTTTCACGCCTGTACACAAGTGGGGATTTGAAGCAGAAGATCACATGTCAAACCATTTAAGAAGCTGTGTATGCTTTGAAAGGTAAATTAAATTCACACATTTTCTCTGTTTTATATTATGTTCATGAAGTTTCCTCCATTATGTAAATGTGATTGGTATTTTTCTCCAGTATTGCTAAAATATTGTTGTTGGTTGTTTGCTCTGGTAAAGTAGCACTTATGTTTTTGATAAATGAAACAATGCATGAATTAAACATTTACAGTATTGGCAAAATACACTGAATCCCATTGGCTGGTTACCATTGTGTTGAATTACGTAGCTACATATTCAACAAATGTCAGTTCACAATTGTTGCTGGCTGATTGGTGCACAAAAACGCCTGTCAGATCGTTACATTTCATAAGATACCCCTGTGTTCATTGCATCTGCCTTTTTCTGCCATCCCAGTAAGTTTTTAACCAAGTGCTAGCAGTAGATTTTCATTAAATTAAGTATTTTATTACAGGTGTATGGAGTCCAAACCTTTGTTTCACATGTTTGGTGAGGAACCAGATCCTACTCTTCATGCAAAACTAATTGCTAAAAGTGGAGAAGATCAAGATTTTGCAGTTGGAAAAAGTTATTAGAGTGGTTCGACTGTCATGATGTATCATGTTTGTAGCTTTATGAACACTTCAATTTTATATTGTACAGCAATGTGTTGATTAGAAAGAATAATCAGGTTTCAAGAAACTGTTATTTATGTTATATGTATATTGAAATTGTTTTTAGTGTATTAATTTATATTGAAGAAAAGAAGACACATATTTAAAATCGTAATTTAAAAATTTACCTCCTCTAACCCGGCCCCATAGACCAATGCGTCATTGGACACTGAAAGTGTTCTGTTAACACCAATTATCATCAGTGGGGGGATAAGAAATTGTAACATGTTGATAAAAATTATGATAAAAAACAAAATCAAATTGAATTCCCTTGTAGGTAGTAAAGAATAACCTTAAAAAAGAGGATGCCATCATGAAAGATGAAATTGGGATCAGTTAAATAATAAAATTCCCAATTAAAGCAAACTGTCCTGTAGCTTTCTGAGCTCGTTCAGGAGTGTAATTGAAATGGGGGAGATTTCCAGATTAGGCTGGCTAATTGGTTTGAGTACACAAGCAATGCAGGCCAGTTATTTGTATTTCTTACATATGTTAGTAAATGCACTACAAGAATATTATTTATGGTAGGATTTGAGACTGCCACAGCAGTGAGTACATAGATTGCTGTCTTCTGGGTTGTAGCACCATGTCTGGTATAGGTTTACCAATGTTTAGAGAGATCCTTCTTGCCCCCATTATTAGGTCTTATTGTGTGATGAGCTCTGATGATGAATGGTAACTAGCATTTTTTACATATTTGTGAGGTCATAATGGAAAAGTCAGAATTTCTCTATATAGAGGTAACAGCTGAAAAACTGTCATTTTGCATGTTGTTAAAACTTGATCATCTCGGCAGAAGATATGGTTTATTCACCATTCAGCCACCTGACGCAGCTTGTAACCCCAGAGTCATTCGCCAATCATCTTTGTTGTAAAGAAGTGTTAAATGTAAATTTTTCTAAAATTCCCATGCAGAAAATAAAAATTTTGATTCACTTAACTTGTATTAATTTCTTTTCTATGTTTAAAATATACCTTATTGTTGTGTGCAACTTTCACAGGATAGTGTTTCCCATAAGCAATCCAAGTGTGAAATTTGATCAAAATCTGTTCGTTGAGAGCATACCAGTTGTAAAAATGCATGGACGTTTCTGATTTAGTTTTCAATGTGACGTGGCTGGTGCAGTAACACCCACTCGGGAGTTACAAATTTGGAGGTGGACATAACAGTTAACTTCCTTGTCGACTGTTCTATCATCACTACCACTTGCCTTCATTGTATCATTATGCCTGCCTGATAGATGGCACATGACTCAATGCTGCCAGCAAGGCACTGAGTCGTATCCTAATATTCAATCAGAGATATTTACGTCACAGACGTGTAGATGCATTTGGTACTTGTGAACCGTGGTGGGTAATGTTTAGTGTGAGTTGTATGTGGTGATCGGTCCCAACATCACTAAAAATGTCCGATTCAGAAGGAAGCAATTTTTCGGACAATGAAAGCGAACGGGGAAGTAATCAACAGAGTGATAGTGATGTTGAGGTAATTCAAAGAAACGCTTTATAAGTATTATCAGTTCACGTTAGTCGCTAACGCCATTTTGGTCTTTGTCGAAAATCGCTGTTAGAAATATTCCATTTACGTATTTAGTTTCTTCAGCAAGATTTTCTATTATTCACTGGGACTCATGTAACAGCATGTAATATCAAATACAAAAGGCTGGCAGATTCAACATAATGCCGTTGGTCCCTAACCTAATAATAATTACATGTAATCCATATTTTGGCAGAGCATCACAGACTATATTTTTCTTCATATATCCCGACTAACACGAGCCATCACAAGAATTGTGGAACATTTGTTGCAAGATAGTGTTAATAAGAAGTAGGAAATGTGGAATACAAACATATGTTAGTACTTGCAATGGATGGCTTGCATGTAACCCATATGTTTTACATTGTCATGCTTTTATACATCTCTCACATAATCTTATCCCTGTCAATTATCTCTTTAGAGTTTTAGCTTATTTAGCTTTAAGTCAGTGGTATCTGACAAGTGCATAACTCACAGGGTGGGCAGTGCTAGTACCGAAAAATACATTAGTTACATATTGTGAATAGGATCTCAACCATCTGTTGATCCAGACACCAAAGGCACCGTTATTTAAAGGTTTTGTCCACCATGGCATACAGTTATATATTCTGAAAAATTTGTCAGTTGGATATGTTTGTAGAAAAATGTAGCATTTTATCATAGTGTTGCGGTACTTACTTCATTACTCAAGAATGTGAAAGTGATATGTAGTTCACTTAAAGTGTTTTTTTGAATGCCAGTATGATAACTAGAATCACAGAATACAGTTACAGTTGCCTTTTTCCACGGAGCACTGTCAGTGACGTGTCAAGTCTGTGGTGAAGATAAACTGAGTCTTATAACTGATCTACAGAGTGTAACGATAAACTTTAATTTTTTGGCAGGAGGTGAGATCCGATTTGGCATCTGGAGATGAGGACCGGCAGTCTAGATCTCCATCAAGGTCCAGTGCAAGATCTCGTTCTGTGTCCAGATCAAGATCTCCATCTCGGTCACGTTCGCGTTCACCGTCCCAATCCCGTTCGAGGTCCAGGTCGCAGTCCCGATCTAGATCTAGATCAAGGTCCAAATCACAGTCTGAAGAGGATGATGAACGCAGATCTGATGATCAGCGAGATGATGAAGCAGAAGAAGCAAGACCTGGTGAAGAGGAGGATGAAGAAGTGGAGGATGAACAGGAACCGGAAGGAGAAGACTTGAATTCAGAGGATGAGGATGTATGTATTCACGCATGGTAGAATTTTAAAACGGTCATTTACCATTGATCAAATGTGCACGTGGAAAACGTGTATAATTAAATGTCGTAAGTCTGGGTGGGAAGCGAATGTAGACACAATGCATCAGGGCTGTGGAGTCGGTACTGAAACCTCCGACTCCTTCATAAAAGCTTAATATGTATCAATAATGGTAAACCAACTAAAATGATAAATGGTACGTCAAGAGATTTCATCATCAGGTTACTTTTTAGACTCATAACCTATATTTAAATAACGTGTAATGGTTATTGCAGAAGTCGGTTGATTTGTAGACAGTTTGTATTCTTAAGGTACCAGAGCCAATTAAGAATTTGGTGGAACCAATGTGTTTTGTGGTAATCGTAAAGTGTTGTAATATTTCATAATATATTGTATTGTTATGATTTTTGTAAGTTTATAGATTTTATCAAATTTTCTTTATTTGTCCAAATAACGTTTTAGTGTTCGTATACTGTTTAATTTTCTAATGTGAGTAGTATATAGGGCTCAACAGGAATGTAACTGAAAGTTGTATAATTATGTATTCCATGTTAAATGTTAACTTGTGCAATTTTTTTTAAGCTGATAAAATGGACGTTCTTGCAGTGCATTACAAAAGAGGCTTGAAAATTGTAATAAATGTAGTTTACAGTATGCAGTCTGCTCTTATGGTACACTGCACTTTTGCAACTTAGGTGACAGCGTTTTAAGTGCTGTTGTTTATAGTTTAAGCATGTCACATGCCAAGAAACTGCAAATGGTATACACGACAACGCACAGTAAATGATTGAAAATAATTTTTATGGGAACAATTGTTCAGTAGCAAATTATCTTTGATTATTAGGAATATGATGAAGAGGAGGAGGAGGAGGAAGACGACCGTCCACGTAAAAAGAAAAAGAAGGACCGTTTTGGTGGAGGGTTTATCATAGATGAAGCCGAAGTGGACGACGAAGTCGAGGATGAAGACGAGTGGGAGGAAGGTGCCCAGGAAATCGGAATAATCGGGAATGAGTTTGACGAACACGGGCCAACTGCAAGGGAAATTGAAGGGCGCCGACGTGGGACCAGTCTCTGGGAGTAAGTTTGATACATGTTTTTGAATATTTTATGCTTATCAGGACTCTGGCTCATCTGTAATCTGCTTTGGTACATGTTTTTTACAAATTTGATGGTTGGTCCTTGTGATTGATGGAATATGCAGATCTGTGGCTACTTCCCAACTTGTTTGCTGTATCAATTACAGTAATCAATCTTTCCCTTGAACCAGTGTATTAACTTGTTCTAAATTTTACACCGTACATTAAGTGGTAAAATGGGACTAGTTGACTTCATGAACGATGATTTTTCTGCAGCATTGGAACCTGTCTACCCATTGTTGTCTTGCTGCTTGAAAAATTACCACGGTTTTACACACAAATTGCGTGAACTTTTTGAATTCCCTTTGAATATAGTTCAGGCGAACATGTTTTTTTGTGTGCTAAATGTATAATTTGCTTTTTTCAGCTCTCAAAAAGAAGATGAGATTGAAGAGTACCTTAGAAAGAAATATGCTGATGAATCTATTCCAATACGGCACTTTGGTGATGGAGGAGAAGAGATGTCCGATGAGATTACCCAGCAGACCCTGCTCCCTGGAGTGAAGTAAGTAGAGCAGTCAGATTGTGTGCAATTAACTGTTATGTAATTCCATTGAAAGAAAATTTTTTTTGCAGGTGTGAAGCGTATATTTGTGAACTTTGTAATCATTTTCCTGTGCCATGGATCAGTTTACAGAATCCACGTACTTGACTAATCTTTAACACCTCCAATTTTCTCCATTAAACCACCTGACACGGCTGGTAGCTCAAGAAGAGTTCATTACACTTAGTCACTGCGAAAGCTTCGGATCATACACCTTACGTAAGAATGGATTGAACCTAAATACCGGATCACAAGGGTACCTAGAAAATATTTTGGTAGGAATGCTGTATCTGATTTTTAACTGATTATGTATATTCAAAATGTTATTTCACATTCTTCTTATCAGAAATTTAAAGCTTATGTGTAGTTCTTGTTCATATTTCTTGAGGCCTTCTCATGAATGATGAGGACGAGAAACAAAAATTGTGATTTAAGAGATTGTTGTTACTTATATAGTTTGTGATTAGAAAGTTGCTAATGCTTGCTGCAGAGATCCAAATTTATGGATGGTGAAGTGCCGCATCGGAGAGGAAAAATCAACTGTCATGCATATGATGAGAAAATACATTGCATACCAATTCAGCAGCGAACCATTGCAGATCAAGTCTGTGATTGCTCCAGAGGGCGTGAAAGGATATATTTACATCGAAGCATACAAACAGCCCCATGTGAAACAAGCAATTTCGAATGTCAGTAATTTGAGGATGGGACAATGGACTCAGCAGGTAAGTTGGTATGTGGCTAGTAATTGAAAGGTTTCGTAATTAAAATAAGTTGAGAAAAATCTCTGATTATTAATTCGGTTCAGTAATGGTAGGATGGGTTGCACTTGGTGGACTAGTAGTTAGCGCGCTCGCCACTGGACCCAAGGTTTGCGGGTTCAAATGACTGATGTGGAAGCATTTAAAAGGTGTCTGTCCAGTATATGTAATGAGGAATTAGAAAGAGTTAAATGCAAATCCAACAGTTGATTCATTTTCTGAAATCGTGTGACGCAGTCAGCTGTATTTGGTTTTTATTAATGTAGGGCTGGAATATTTGTTCTTACTAACACTAGAAGTTCCTGTTATATAGATGGTGCCTGTGAAGGAAATGACAGATGTACTTCGTGTAGTGAAAGAACAAACTGGTCTGAAAGTGAAGCAGTGGGTTCGTCTCAAACGGGGCCTGTACAGGGATGATATAGCCCAAGTAGACTATGTGGATCTTGCCCAGAACCAGGTCCACTTGAAGCTGCTGCCACGCATCGATTACACCCGTTTTAGAGGAGCGTTGCGTAGCACTCAGACTGTGAGTAAAATAATGGTTTAGAATTATGTTTTCTACAATGTGTAATTGTAGCCAGATAGCTGTTGTTTCCTGTTTTAAATATATCTTTGAGGCTGTTTTAAAATAAAATTAATAAATCTAGGAGAATGACTCTGCCAAAAGGAAGAAGAAACGTCGCCCGCCTGCTAAACCTTTTGATCCCGAGGCCATCAGAAGTATTGGTGGAGATGTAGCTTCAGATGGAGACTTCCTTATATTTGAGGGCAACCGTTACTCAAGAAAGGGCTTCTTATACAAAAACTTCACCATGAGCGCGATCATAGCAGATGGTATGTATAAAGTAGTTCATATCTGGTTTGAATCTTACCTGGGATACTGGATATCGTGATTGAGGTTTTTGGTGGCTTTCCTCGGTCCATCCGGGCAGTTGCTTGGACAGTACTTTAAAGCAGGCGACAAACTTCCACATCCTTCCCAACAAATCATTCTACATTGTATTATTTCTTGTTTAATACCACGTAAGAAATGTATTTTTTTTCTGGGTCGTTAACCAGTTTTGGTCCGTACGTCTTGTCATGTGATCCCGCCATGTCCATTCTTAGATCCATATGTGGCTTGTGTTAGAAGAAATGCACTCGTAAACTTTGTCGTGTCTGTTTGTGTGTACCCATATGAAGGTCATCGACTCAACAACTCTGACATTATCGCCACCATTCACAGTGGCCAAAGGTCAAATTTTGCCTAAAACGCCATAATTGTTATGCTGCGCATGCATTTTGTAACTTGTTTTTTCATTATTTTAAAATTTTGGACACCAATTTTGGGTTGGAATGTGATTTACTGATTGTTGTGTCTGTAGTATATGATCTTCATTTTCACAGATTCAGTCTGAATCTTTTTCGATCAGTCTTTGTTATACTGACAAAACGCAGAGTGAGAGACCA